TTTAATAGCATAGGTTTTTCACATTAATTTTGTACGCCCTTATATATTCAAATATATTTCGTGGTAATCATGCATGAAAATATTCATGCTTTCACTCATTTGGGGAAGTAAACACGCCGAGGGATTTCGTTAATGAAAAGGGCTCAGGTCTACCAGGGCAAGCTGAGGTTGAACACGTAGTCTAACTGCTTACATAGGTCGAATAAGTTTCCAAGATTTTCTATTACAAAACACCTCATTGATAGCGGTCATTCAATTGACCCCAAAACTTCTTTTCGAGTATTACTTCGAGCACGAACAACTCGTTTACTGCGATACCTGGAGGCAGCCTACATACGGCGGGAGAAACCCGACCCATGTGAACAGTTAAACCACGTGGTCAACCTCAGCTTGCCCTGGTAGACCTGAGCCCTTTTCATTAACGAAATCCCTCGGCGTGTTTACTTCCCCATTTTCTTTCCTATGTTGCGTTTTGTAGTTACAATTTTATGGATTAGTCTACGTGCAGTATGCGATGACCTTCCAATAAGTTCTGTTGTCCATGCCTGTATTAAATTCATTTCGGGAAAAAATTGCTTGTGCGCCGGTGTACCACTGGACAGCTGCAAACTACAGTATTCCGAAAATCCACCGACACGAGACAGATCCTACACTTCAACAGCAACCATCCACTGTCTCACAAACGTAGTTGTGTCCGCACTCTATTCCAAAGAGTCGAAACACACTGCAGCACACCAGAAGATAAAAGGGCCGAACGATTGTACCTTGTGGACCTATTTGCAGCCAATGGTTATCCCAGGCATTTCATCGAGAGAAGCAGGCGTTGGGCACCCAGACAACGGCCAAATGAGCAGCAACCCGAAGTCTGGAGGGCCATTCCTTACGTTAAAGGGGTCTCTGAAGCGGTCTCGCGACTGTTACAACCCACCAGAATAGGCATAGCCCATCGACCACAAGCAACAATTCGACGTCGCCTAATGCAACCTAAAGACCCATTGCCACCCGCTGAAACCTCAGCAGTCATCTACAAAATAAATTGCAATGAGGGCGACTGCAACTATGTGGGCGAAACTGGGCGGAAATTGCAAACTCGCCTACAAGAACACAAATCGGCCACTCGGAGGTTAGACCCTAACTCTCAACTAGCAACACACGTTGGGGAAACGGGGCATACTTTTGACCTCCAGAGGGCTACCATCTTAGGCCGAGGCAACACAAAAACAGAACGGCTAACTCTCGAGGCGTGGTTCTCCGATGCCCACTCTATCAACAGGCATCTGGACCTTCCTGCAGCTTACAAAGTCCTACGTCATCACAACCGTAGAGCTCAGGACCAAACAACCACACCGGACTTAAGAAGACAGCACGGAGATAGCCCGACGCTGAGCTTACTCGGTGAGGAAGAACAAGAACCGCCATACCGACCGCCCGACTAAAGTCCAATCAGCTCCCCTCGACGGAGTGGTGACTCATAAAGTGCACAGGCAAAAACGCCCGTCAACCATTTCCTGAGAGGCCGACGCAGCGTGAGGAGAGAGAAAAATCGATCAGCATGAGGCCGGCTAACACAGCTTGCCACTTTAAGTTAACTTTCTGACCGATTAGGTGCAGTTCACGCTTTGACAATGAAGAGCCGACCCAGCTCTTTGAAACGTCAGCAGTTAAATAAACCTGTTCCGGAGAGCCAATTTTCTTCTTCTTATTGTGGTTTTTACCAGCATAATTCGAAGGGTTCATGCAAGATACGTTTAAATCCCGCTGCACTATTTTATGCATATTTCGTATATAGATTTGATCAACATTGTAATATTCTTCATTACGCTCAAAATTTAGAGTCAGATAAATGGAGGATTTTATGTTCCACACAGCCAAGCAAGCTAATCGGCTAATTGCATTAAAGGCACTGCTAAAAATCAAAAGTCGATGTTTGATGGCATAGCGGAGAGCACGAAGTACATATATAGAATGAGAAATATTGGCCAATATTTGGGACCACTTATATGGGCCTTTGTACAGTTCCCGCTTAAAAATACATCTAATGTTATAAGAAACAATAAAAGCGCACAAGCTGTGGCCCCACATCTTCAGCCAACAGATATTTATCGTGCAGTGGCAGTTTTCGCTGATAGTGAATGTTGTTTCTGCGCACATTTTCATCAGATAGACACTTTTGGCAGCCCAATCTGCACCGTAAAATTTAGCGCAGTTTACAGAGAAGACATTTGACTGGAATAGTACAGAAGGGACCATGATAACTGACTGGGCGTAAATCTCGAGGGTTCATTTCAATCTCTCACTTTTCCGGCCCGTTTTTGTAAATGAATCTGCTGGGGATGCCTTTGAGGCCTTCCCCCGATGGTGACACCATAACATCTGCGGAAAGTACATTTTATGGTGACAGTCTTGGGAGAAAAGGAAAACTTGCCCAAGCCTAGACTAGCCTGCTGATCACCCATTTTTCATGGGTAAACGTGGAGTTTGATTGTGGTAGAAAGCACAAAATGTGATCAAAGGCCAAAATGCAATCTTATCCCTTCCCAAACCGGAAAGCATATAAGAGATCACCGCGCGCATACTTTCGAGTCAGAAAAAAAGGTGCTTAGGTGTGTCTGTGCCGAGGCGCCAGACTGTCTTGCCTTTCCCTACCTGTTCCTCATTCTTGAACTAACTGCTTGTTTAACTGAATGGAATGAACACAACTCGACGCGACGCGCTTGGCATGAGTGGGATTGTCAGGTAGTTTGACTTTTGATTATTAATTTTTCCATAACTCTGGTCTTATCCTGATTTTCATAGTCTTGGATTGACGGTTCTGTCTTTAGCGCTCGCTACAGTGGTGACTCTTTGACGTTCACGCTTGTACCTTTAATTAGTCGACTTTCTATTTGCATACCGCCCGTTTGCCTTCTTCCATTTTTTCTACAGTCATGACCTCTACGAATTCCAACGATCCCACTTCTTCTCTCAGTGGACTTGTTTCTTCCCTCCCAGACTTTTGGCAACATGCGCCAGAGCTTTATTTTTTCCGTATTGAGCCGACTTTTCACTCCGCCAAGATAACACGTGAAACCGACAAGTTTTATAAGCTGGTTGAGGCTCTCCCTCCCACCATTCTTTCTCAAGTGCAGACGCTTCTGAGAGATCCCCCGACTGATGCTCCTTACACCAAGTTAAAGGCTGAACTTCTTCGCCTGACATCAGTCTCCGATCGGCAGCGTTATCACGCACTAGTAAGAGAGGAGGCCTTAGGTGATCACAAGCCGTCGGAACTCTTGCGTCGCATGCGTTCTCTGGTTGAGAACATGAAAATCGACGACAAGTTCTTTAAAAAGATGTTCTTAGAACGTCTGCCGACGTCTGCACAAACAATCTTGGCCTCTGGCTTCGACGACCTAGAAATATCTTAGTTAGCGGAGATGGCTAACCGTATGATGGAGGTTGAGCGTTTGTCATCCCCGACGATTGCTCATGTGTCCCAGCCTCTCAACGTGTCCACCTCTGACCTTGCTGAACTAAAGACACAGATTTCCTAGTTGTCAGCGACTGTTGCCGCTTTGCAGCTGCACCGATCCCCCGGTCCCTCTCGACGTTCCTTTGGCCGTGACCGTCGTCGTCCCCGCTCTCGCCCCAGGACCGCCAACCTATGTTGGTATCATGTCAACTATTGCGACAAGGCGCGACGCTGTGTCCCACCCTGCTCCTTCAAGTCCACACAGGGAAACTCCTCGGCCGGAGAGTAAAAGCGGCCGAGCTCTCTGGCAACTCTACGGGTCGCACATTTTACGTGAGTGATAACACGAGTGGCAGGCATTTTTTAGTCGACACGGGCGCTCAAATTAGTGTTATCCCTCCCACGCCAGCCGACCGACGTTGCCAAAACCATGGTTTTTACCTTCAAGCCGTAAACTCATTTCCCATAACAGCCTTTGGATTTCGATCCCTCTCCCTGGATATTGGCCTCCGGCGATTATTCCCCTGGATATTTGTGGTTGCTGATGTTCCCACCGCTATCCTTGGTGCTGATTTTTTGGCCGCCTTTGACCTTCTGGTGGATTGCAGACAACTTCGCCTCCATGATCGCGCAAAGGATATCCTCCATCCTCAGCTTCTAACTAGCTCTCCATCCTTGACCCAAACCCTGACTGTCCATTTCGTAGACTTTTAGCAAAATATCCTACCCTCACTAAGCCCCATTTTTCTGACACCTCATTTCCCCATGATATTGTTCATCACATAAAAACGGCTGGTCCTCCCGTTTTTTTCTCGTCCCCGCCGTCTTGCTCCCGCGCGTCTTACGGCTGCTAAAGCAGAATTTGACCACATGCTGAAACTAGGGATTATTAAACAGTCTGACAGTCCCTGGGCATCTCCTTTGCACATGGTTCCTAAACCAAATACGGATGATTGGCGTCCTTGTGGCGATTATAGAGCCCTAAACAGTATCACTTTGCCCGATCGGTACCCCGTTCCTCATCTTCCGGACTTTGCTGGAGCCCTTTCGGCAAAACCAGTTTCTCGAAGATCGATTTGGTGCGGGCTTTTCATCGAATTCCGATTGCGGCTGGGGACATTCCCAAAACGGCAGTGACGACTTCTTTTGGCTTGTTTGAGTTCCTTCGTATACCATTCGGTCTCCGAAATGCCTCACTAAATTTCCAACGTTTCAGTGACCGTGTTTTACGCGGCCTTCCATTTGTTTATGTGTATATTGATGATGTTCTCGTCACCAGTCGAGATGTCGAGGAACACCTCCAACACCTTCCCCTGCTTTTTGACCGATTTCAGCAGTTTGGTGTCACCCTGCATCCTGTCAAATGTGTCCTAGGAGCCACTTCTCTTGAGTTCTTAGGTCACCTGATAAACACAAACGGACTTCGGCCTCTTCCCTCAAAAGTTGCCGCCATTCGGGACTTTCCACCCCCTACCTCGAAGCGTCAGTTGCAACGGTTTCTTGGTATGGTGAACTTTTATCGCGGTTCCTACCGAACTGTGCTGATCTCATGTTGCCGCTCACCAACATGCTTTCTCGTCCCAAAGGTCCCCTCGAGCTTACGGGTAAGGCACTGACTGCTTTTGAGAGAATCAAGAATTCCCTTGTTGATGCCACCTTACTCATACATCCCGCTCCCGAAACTCAGCTGTCTCTGATGGTAGATGCTTCGACCGTAGCCGTAGGTTCAGTCCTTCAACAACACCTTGATGGTTCGACTCAACCACTTGCCTTTTTCTCCAAAAAGCTCTTACCAGCTGAAACACGCTACAGTACCTTTGGCCGTGAACTACTTGCCATTTACCTGACTGTGAAATATTTCCGACATTCCCTTGAAGGTCGTGACTTCACCGTTTTCACTGACCACAAACCGTTGACGTTTGCACTTCGTTCACACACTGAAAAACTAAACCCCCGGGATATCCGCCAACTGGACTACATCTCCCAGTTTACCTCAGATATCCGCCACATCGACGGGTCACGCAATGAGGTGGCTGACGCACTGTCCAGGCCTCCCATTGCTCATCTTCAGCTTTCACCCAGGATAGACCTCGCTGAGATGGCCGCTGAACAACGCCGTGTCGGTCCACCCTGTGATGAGGATGTTTCCGGACTCCATTTTCAGGAACTATCACTGACAACTGGCAACGGCATCATCTTATGCGACGTATCCACCCCTTTCCATCGTCCATTTGTGCCACCATCTCTCCGCCGCAAAGTTTTCTCCTCCCTGCACAATCTGTCTCACCCTGGGAGTCGAGCAACCGACAAGCTGGTTTCCGACCGCTTCGTATGCCTGGTATGCACATGGACCTCAAGGCATGGACACGGGCTTGTATCGCCTGTCAACGGAGCATGATCCAGCGGCACAACAAGGCCCCCATTGGCACCTTCCCCGGCCCTGGTTCAAGGTTCAGCCACATTCACCTAAACATTGTAGGCCCCCTGCCTCAGTCCAATGGTTGTTGCTATCTCCTCACCTGTGTGGATCGGTTCACTCGGTGGCCTGAAGCAATTCCCCTGCCTGACATTGCTGCTCAAACGGTGGTCAAGGCTTTTCTCATTCGTTGGGTTGCTATCTTTGGTGCACCCTCCACAATCACGACGGACCGTGGTGCCTAATTTGAGTCTAACCCCTTCCAGTCTTTACTCTCCTTTTGAGGCTGTACTCGCATCCGCACTACAGCCTATCATCCGCCAGCCAACGGTATGGTCGAGCGGTTTCACCGCCAGCTGAAGGCCTCCCTACGCGCCGCGGCCGATCCGGAGAACTGGACAGACCACCTTCCCCTGGTCCTCTTGGGCATCCGCTCCGCTCTCAAGTCGGACCTTGACTGTTCCGCAGCTGAACTGGTGTTCGGTGCCACCGTCCGACTCCCCGGTGAGATGATCTCTCCAACCCCACAAGGTGCGGTTGAGGATTCCATTAACCTCCGGCAGTTTATGCGGACACTTTCTCTGGTTCCTCCCAGGTCCTCCGCCTCTTCGTCTTATCTCGAGAAGGACTTGGCAACGTGCTCTCACGTCCACCTTCGATGTAATCGAGTCCGCCGGCCTCTGGAACCGCCCTATGACGGCCCATTTCGGGTGCTCTCTCGCGGGCCGAAGACTTTCCGCATTCAGCGCGACAATCGTGAAGAGGTCGTGTGTGTGGACCGCCTCAAGGCTGCCGTCCCTGACACTCCTCCGGATGAGCCCTGTGGTCTTCAACCTTCTGCTTCCCCCCATGCAGCCTCTATTCCACCGTTTCGTATTTTTCCTCTGCCCTCCTGTCCGCCATCTCCGACTGCCACCACCAACTCCAAAACTTTCGCCACCAGATTTATTCACTCTTCTACGGACCCTGTATATATCACTCGCAGTGGTCGTCATGCACACTTTCCTGATCGGTTGGTCACGCATTTCTTTTAGACCTGTACACATCCTTCGGCGTCGTCTTCGCCGCCCTCCGGTCTCGGAGGGTGGTACTGTGTCGAGGCGCCAGACTATCTTGCCTTTCCCTACCTGTTCCTCATTCTTGAACTAACTGCTTGTTTAACTGAATGGAATGAACACAACTCGACGCGACGCGCTTGGCATGAGTGGATTGTCAGGTAGTTTGACTTTTGATTATTAATTTTTTCATAACTCTGGTCTTATCCTGATTTTCATAGTCTGGGATTGACGGTTCTGTCTTTAGCGCTCGCTACATGTTAGGCGGGTTGTTTAAGGAAGTGAGCTTTGAACGTAGCAGTCAACAAGGCGAATCGTCTTGTGTTTCCAGTTCGATTAGCTCTTCTCAGAAAGTCTTGATGTAAATTAATTCTATAAGCACTCTAATGATTACTGGATCCAGATTACTTTGGTACTCTACAATAGTTGACTTTAACTTTGTCTTCCGAGTCCGCTACCTAGAGTCTAGTTCGCAGTTCAGTCACCAACAGAACTTATAACAACTATACTACGGTGACTAACTAGTATCCTGACTGTGTCATTGATATTTATTGCACTTCGTTTTGAAATTGCCTTTTTGATTCCCGTTAGTGAGATGAATGTAAGTTTCGAATCTGCTGTCATATATGTTTCATTCGTTGACATATCTGATATGCGCAATAACTTGGCATTCTCTTCATATTTTGCGTTTCCGATGATTTCTTTCTTTAGCTTGCTATATGCCTACTTTGTCTTCCTATTTCGTCTCCCACTCGCAACCTTCTTTTTATTGGACTTGTCGACGGAAGAAAAGGGACTTTGAAGTCCGCTGTTATGTAGTAAGCCATGAGCTCGTACTGATCAGTGAAATAAAACACCTTGTGTGCACGATCTTAACCACCAGACTGTCTTTTAATCGTAACAAGATATCAAAGACGATCAAAAGTCGTCTGTCTGTTTCGACGAACAACTTCGTGGACATATGGCTAGAATACGTTTTAGCCAAATATCGAACATAACGTAAAAGCGCGACGTCCGACTGGAATAAGAAGTTACCCCTGGAGAATGTGAAAAGGAATCAGGCCAAACTGGTTGACGGATAAGAACTTTCAACTCACGAGGAATGAATAAAAAGATTTAAAAGTTCAAATAAGTCGCGCACACGTCTGCTTAACAAAAATATATACATATCACAGAAAGTGCAGGAGCGCGCTTCTTACCGCCTCATGCCGACAGTTTACTTAAGGACGTTCGTGTGCGGCTTAAATTGACACTTAGTTGTAAAACGGGACGTTTCGACAGACGCTGAGTCGCTGTATGTTATCTTTGAATTGAATTACTAAATTTATATGCGCAAATAACCATTGAGCTCATACATTCCTTTATATACGGGCATTTGAATTAATATGGTCTTATAAAGCTACCAAAAGCATAGGTAACGTGGCGTTGGCAGCATCAGCACGATACTCAATAGAACCATTACCATACTTAGTAAGCGAATGTGATTCAGCTATGCAGGAGGAAAACGATGCTTCGTCGACCAGCAACTTCGAACAACTAATCCTGTCTCAAACGTATGAGAGGCAAACTCAGGCGGCCACTACAGCAAAGTCCAACCGCCAAGCAACCAATATAAATCCTAAGACATGTGACCCAAAATACTTATGCAAACTATTCCCAATTTTTTGTGAAATAATTCTACTTGACCCACTACAGTTACTACCACTTGTAAAGAAAAAAACCTAGCCTGCTAACTGTGAGGACGGATGAGCACTCCCGCCATCTATTTTAATAATGGACTAGAAAGAAGCACTTAGATAACGAAAGCACGAGATGGTGGATGTTTCACTCTCGTCCTGCGCGCTGAAATATTACAAGGGATACCTTAGCTCCTCTGATATTGGTATTAGCAAAGCTCATAAAGCACAAAGCGTTAACCCCCAGGATCGTACAAAATACTTGGGAATCGTTGTGGAACACGAACACACTCGGCCAAAATGAAGTACTGACGTCGCTGATCCCTGCACTGTGCAAAAGAACAGACAAAGTTAATAGTCCATAAAACAAACTCCCTACCCCACATGTGCACGGCCTAAAGACAAAAGGCTCGTTCTGATGAGAAGCAGAGTTCCAGAATCAGCATCACCAACTGCCATTTTAAACTTAAGCATGACGTAGGCTTCTTTCAGTGGTAATACAAAAAACAATAATAATTGAAAAGTCAATTTGGCAAACACATGTTTCCGGTAACTCTTCATCAGGAGGCAAAAACGGTTACATATAAGTTTAAACTATGCGAACGATGGGTGTTTATTGTCTCTGAATCAATTATTTGCCCTGTAACTTCGCGTAATTTTAACTTCTCTTTAACCGTTTTGGCCTGATGAAAAGTTACCAAAAACACGTGTTTGCCAAATTGACTTTTCAATTGTAACATGGGGATATTCGCTGAACAATAATAATGACAAATGTATCAAGTGTCAGTTTACAGGCATTGCTGATACACGTATGAAGTGCGGATCAGGCAAGCAGTAAGAACCTTTGACGATGAAATATAGTGGGTAAGGTCTTTGGAAAGTTGAGGTTATTCAGGAGAAGAAGTCCAGCCTGCAAATGATGATGGTATACAATGCAAATAGATGGCCGCAGTGCACTTAGGATTTCCTGTCTCCATTTTTGTCATGGAATTTGGAGTCTGAACCGAACAAGGGTGCCTGAGGGAACGGTTTCCCACCGTCAGCTGAAATCTTTTCCGGCTGGGTTATGGGATGTAGAATCAGGGTTGTCATTCAAAACGAAGCTTTACAGAAGGGGCACAGACCACGAAATTAATCACTACCGAAAATATACTCGGTGGATTCGGCACCCAAAACAGGCGGATGTTGCTCTGAATGCTGTAATTTGTTTAGACAGAGAATAATTTTGAAGCATAAGTTATTTAGCATACCTAGGCAGCAACAAAGGACGACGAGCGGCTTATTTTTTTCAAAGCACGTGGAATTGGAAGGCCCAGTCAGTATGTGGAATAAACTCCTGACCACCAACCTTAAAAATTAGTTTAGACACCAAAACTTAAGAGCTGCTGCTGCTACATGGACAGAGATCTCTGCTGGGAATGTAGGCCGGACCCTTTTTTATTCAGGTGACGAACCACTGGAAAGATGAAATAAGACAGCTGACATGAAAAACTGAAAGAGCGGGAGAACAGCATTGTAAAGCGCAACTTACGGGACGTGGATACACATTTAATGCCAATCGCGGCTTTCTTTGGCAGAAGACGGCAATAATTGCTGTCTAAGGAACATGCGCATGGCGAAATGAGGGATTGCCAAATGGACCTCAGACCAGAAACCGAAGTAAATACGGATGAGCTCGAGTTTATATATAACAAGATTTCCTGTAGGCAACGGGAATTATCGGAAGTTATACAATAAAGTCTTGAAATTTGATCAAATAAGACGTTGTCCAACAGCGAAGCAGCAATGTCTGTAAACGATATGGGCATTTGAATTGTGATATGGGACTCAATCGACGAACACAGGTTAAAGATGATAATGAGTCCGTAGCGGTAGATTGTGTAACCTCATTTCGCAACCAGTAGCATCCGGATCGCAAAATACAGGAATGGTCGTAAAAGGCTAGTTCAGTTCAGCTCAGTTTATTGAAGGAAATAGGCGTAAGCCTTTGAGTAACCTATTTGCAGCGTAAAAATGTGTGGTATACGGAAAAATTTTCTGGGCTGAAATAGTTCAAACAAGCCCATAATAGAAAAGCAATGTCGGAACAAGTTACAGGGGGTGAGCTCGATCTCTCATCACTCATGGTCATTCTGGAACATAAATATGTCAAGATTCTTTTTGAAACTTTGTATAGTTGGTGACGTCACAACATCTGCAGGAAGGATATTCCATGGTTTGACCACTCGAACAGAGAAGGAGAACTTCCGCA